CTATCCGAAGGGATAGAATTGACTTTTTCTTGAGAAGCACGATTTCTGCGATCGAGGTCGAGATGGTGCAAAAGACCATGGGCACGATCAGACACCGAAGCGCGCGGATGTAGAGGTTGCCGGGGAGGGAGACCCAAAGAACAGCTTCAAGGCTGATGCGCCAGTGGGAGAGAAGGAGGCCAAGACCTATGCCACCAAAAGCGCCAATGATGACAGCGATCGTCCCAATGAAGGTCGTCTTGGCGCGGTAGTCGTAGCTGGCTTGCACCGCCGTGGGCATCATGGCTTTTTCGGGCTCTTCGGGAATCACGTCGGCCGGCGGTGCGTTGTGGTGCCGAAGCGTCTCGGGCGTCGATGGCTGCGGCTCATGCATGTAATACGATGATGACGTGCGCGGCCCCGCCGATGTGAAGACATTGCGGGCGTCCGTGGGCTCGGGGGGCGGGGGACGCCGACCACCCGGCGTCGTGTTGGCCGAAGACGACGACCCAGTGCTGTGCAGCGACCGGCGGTCTTGAAGCCGTGTCGACTCGGCCGTCTCGGCCACGTAGAGGTAGATGCCTTGCTGCGGCTCCATTGAAAATCCACAAGTGACGTTTGTAGAGGCCCATGGATCGCTGATGTGACCTGATCTGGAGTTTGCATCGCTTGTCAGCGGACGCCCAGGATCAAGACATATGCACGCGCTATTCGCTTACATGAGACGACGAGTCATCAGGCGGAGGACAAACGCGCGTTCACGTAATACTTTCATTTGCACTCGTTAAGTGAATTTAAGAGGCCTTCTTCATATGGTGGGAACTTGTGTTGGTGGATTCACGCAGTCACGGTTCCACACCCACGAACGTCGACGCAGACACCCGCCCAGTTTTAGCATGTCATTAGTGGATTTTTTTGCTGCCGTATTTTCGAGAATATGTGTGGCCCCACCATGGCTCTAGCTTGGTTTTTTACATACACAATTCAAGATAAAATCATAAGCTGATTACGTAATCGATCAGGGACTTGAAAAATGGAAGACTGAGTTGGCAAAGCAAGAAGTGATTACGTTACCGGATCTTGACAACTGCAAAAATGAGCGACAGGCCAACCAGCTCCATGCGTACCGGCATGCGACCGCCCGTCAATGCGACGGGAGGCGGCGCGGCCATACAGTCGCTTCGGCATACTAGGCCCGCAATAGCCTGCCTGCAAGGCCTTTAGGATAAGCGTAAGCTTACTCCTTTTCATCTCGAAGCCGATGGAACCACAGGAGTTACCGTCCATTGCGCTCCAGCACCGGCATGCACGGTAGCGCAAGAGCGCGCGCCGCACCGGGCGCACGATATCTGCGAGCACCGACTATGCCGCGATGTACTAAGTGCAGGACATAAAGGAGGGCACGGCCGCGTTATTCGCGTCCCAGTGGCGGCCTCGACAGCATCGAGTCGCGCCAGCGCGGCGGAGACGACGTTGGCGACGAGAAGGATCGCGACGCTTAGCAGCGCCAGATATACAAGGCACTAGACTATCCGATGGACTTACTATGTGTACCAGAGCGCGCGCGCAGAACTGCTAGGGCGCGGGATGATGAAGCCGACCTGTCGCCCTTCGCCAGTGCTCCAGTTGCTGCTTTTGCTGTGTTGTTTGCCAATGAAAAATAATCATAAAAACAATCGCCGACAACCCAAAATTACTTGCTTTATACTAGTATATTGAGAGATGCCGGATGGACGGGATTTGAAAATAGCGAAATTAATTTCCCCGTGAGGGTGAAATTGAAAGCGCCGAGCACTTTGCATAGTTTAATCAAGTGTAATAAAACGTGGAAGCCATTTTCGCTTAATCGTGGACTAGTGTGGATCAGAGGCCGAAAAATCCACGTTTGTAGCCGATCCGTTCCGCAAAATGTAGCGGAAGACTATTTTAAATCTTGCCCCTTTCAGCACAAAAGTGCCCCCCAAATTCATCGTAGTATAGGAGTAAGGTGTTGTCATAGGTGTTGTGGCTCTGGTGTCGCCATGGAGCACGTTCGATCTTCGATCATCTGTAGGCATGATCTGTAGTAGCCCGAGGAGTCTGAATAAAAAGAATAGTCCTATGTAGGGGCAACCAGAATCCATCAACAGCAGCCAGCAATTGGCCAGCGGTACCTCTTGAAGACGTCGGTTCGATCCAGGGGTCCACAACTCTAAGGTACTCTGCCGCAAGTCCACGTAGTCGGAGACGTTGGGTAGCTCGACCTCCAAGGCTCTTTCGCGAGCTGCGAACCCGAATATATTCAGTCCTCCCAGACCTAAAGGCGGAGAATCCGCCAATGATCTTTAAAGATTCATCATGTCTTCGTGGTACGCTGCGTTGAAGACGCCCTCGGCCTCGGTGGCTGCAGCGGGTGCCCCGTCGGTAGCAATCCGGCGTAAAATGGCGCCAAGCCGTTACGCGCCTATCCAATATGTTGTTGTATACTAGTAACCGGTTTCAGGCCAATCGGAATCGAAAATATGCCCATTTTTGTGATGCTGACATGATTGACATGGCATGTCCAAAGCTACCTTTAAGTAGGCAATATAATTTCATGGGTTGCCTTTAGACAGCCAGGACTGGTCAGGACTGTATGACCACGCTCGACAGGTGCCACAAAGAACACAAGGAAGAAGCGAGATGAAAACGGCATATATATGCCGGAAATTCATGCCTACCGGAAATTAGGTTTGAGGCCGGACGACCCTAGAAATAGGACTCATCCGTAAAATTTGAAAGACTCATTCGAGCGTACAAAGATACACCTCGGTATGGTCGCAATTCCGACTCTTGCTACTCAAGCGACTCTGAAGGCAGTTTCGTCGACCATTTCACCTGGGCGAACCGCTCGGGGGTGCGCCCACTGCCGGCGACGTGCATTTTGGGAGCTCGAGCGGCACTGAGTCCGACGGGGATGCGTACGGCGACGAAGGTGGCGACGTGAGCGACACGTGCGAGGGCGACGCACGCGCGCCCAATGCCGCGACCGAGCCGTGTCTAGCGACACCGAGTCCGAGAGCGACAATCGAGGCCAAAGTCGCATGCATCGACGCGATGCCCAAAGCGAGACAAGACGATGTCGTGCTCGGATCGTTTGAGGAAGAGTTCAACGGAGACCGCGGCCCGTAGTCTCGATAGGACTGGTCGTGTCGTCGCGTCGCGTCGCGTCGTCTCCTCTTCGACTTGGCCAAATGCCATCGCGACCGACTTCTGGTACTAGGCGCCGGAAGACCGTGTTTCCGACCATGGTCATTCCCACTCGTTCGTGTACCGGCAATATGGTCGTTGTTGTTGAACTGAGTTATCACATGCAATTATAAAAAATATGGTGGACTTCCTAATGCGCTCGTGAGGCGTGACCGGTGCGTCAGCGAGGAGCGTTAGTAGTCGTGATTCGAGATTGTACGAGGGACCAGGTAGCGCGCACGCCACGGGTCGCAGAGAGCAACCAGCAACGCGTCAAGAGATGGCACCACAGCGCTGTACGAGCCAAGTGCCGGACATGCAGTCGTGCGATAGTAGCTGCCCGGATCGCGAGCACGGCGGGAAGTTGTGTCAGCGTCGTGCGGAAGACACGGTTGTTGCGCCTTTCGTGGCAACAGCGCGCTTCGAGGTGTCGTTGGCATGGTCATGGTCCGTCAATACCGCCAGAGTCGCCGTTGCCACTGGTGCGTTGACGATCGGCTCGCAGAGCGCCGTGTAGATGGTGGCCATGCACAGTCGAGAGCTGCATGGTGTGAACCGACTTGGATATCATTGTAGTATCTTTGGTCCAAGCAGCTGGCAAACAGGGTGACTGGTACACGGTACAGTGCCGTGTAGCAAAGATCTGAATCGTGAGGCCGATCGTCTTCCACGAGCGGTGCATCGTCGAAAAAGCGGGGCACAGAAGACCCTCTGTCGTGGACTCTCTGCATCGCCAGCCCTTCAATAAGCTTCTTCAACCCATGCCTTGGCGTTGCTTGGGTGCAGGTAGGTCATCGCAATCGACGAGAGAACGCATTGAACCATCCATAATATTTGCTGGTATCTCCATAAAAGCGCAAACGTGCTGCGTGCACGCACGGCTGAGCAACGGAGAAGCAATGTCGACGCTGCTTGGGTAACGTGCAATAGTGTAGCTCTCACGACACGAGACGACGTACGTATTCGCAATGACACTGCGAAGTCCGCTCCTCCTAACGTTACCACGGGTGTGCGTCGATGGGTAATCTCGTCGTCGCCAAGCGCTTCTGGTCACGAACCGATTCGCACACGTCTTCTACCATGTTTCCCTTCAAACTGTCCTGTATCCTGTGCGGTAAGCCGGCAAGACGAAAACGACTCCGCGAAAAAGAAGAAGAAGGTGGTCAGTACGCACTGCCGATCTTTTGCGTTCGTTGAGGCTCAACATGTGTTTCCGAGGCAAGACCAACCCAGGTGGTTTTCTCCGAGCCAATGGGGCTGGAAGCGTCCGGTGGGGACCTCCCGGGTAATTTGAGCAGGTGTCACGTCAAACTCGTGATCAGACATGACAGGCAAGCTACCGACCAGGTGAGCGGCCCGGTGCTTGCGAAATTAAGTGTTTTCCGTTGCGGAAACGTGTGCAAGCTGTTGCCGCCTCATGCTCTGTCTCGGGACAGCAGCGTCGTATTCTCAGTTCAAGAGCTGGTCGGCGAGGCAACCTCCTCTTGCTGTTCCAGTGACGACAAGAGCACATGACATTTCTTCCCATCGCCTCTGCTTTCGTTTCGAGTAGCCTCGTGCGTACGTAGCAGCTGATGGCTCATTGCCGATTTCGATTCGAACCCGCACCATGCCCGAAAAAGGCATCTACCTCTACTACGGCAACGAGACGTCGCATACCGAGCCGTCGCCGGCGCCCATCGGGCACCATATCTTGCATGCCACGCCCGGGTCTGTCTCGTCGTCGAGCACAGGTCGCAGCGGTGACCGCCGAGCGCCGCAGCCCGCCGAGCCGCTCGGTCTGCGCACCAACTTTTCAGCGCGCAACCCGCACGACGGCGTGGGCACACCACCACTGGTCTACGACGACCCAATCCTTGAGGAACACGACCCCAAGCACCTCGCGGCCGGCAATTTTGACTCGCGTTCGAGCTCTGTCTTTGTCAACTCGATCGCGGTGGTCATTGGCGCCGGTGTCGGCATTGGCCTTGGCATCCTCCTCGCCAAGCTAGACGTCGGGCGCGATGTTGAACAATGGATGGCGCTGCCCGGTGACCTCTTTGTGCGCGCGCTCCGGTGCCTCGTTGTGCCATTGGTCTTTTGCTCAATGACGGTCTCGATCGCAGAGGTCATCGTCCTCAACCGGACATCGGTCTTGACGCTTCGGACCGTCGTCGTCTTCTTCCTCACGTCGTCGCTCGCGGCCGTCCAAGGCATGATTGTAGCACTGGTGTTTCGAGCCATGTACAGCGCACCAAACGCCGTTGCGGCAGCGTCGGCGTCGAGCAATGCCGCAATCATCGGGCTCAAGTGCGCCAACGGGCTCTTTCTGGGCGCCGCCGAGAACGGGTCGGTTGCATGCTTGGAGCCCAACGCGACCGGTGCAGCCTTGTACCAGATCAACGACATCAACAACGTGCTCCATATCCAAGGCAAATTTCAGCAACTTTCGCTCACGGACCAAGTGATTGCGATCATCAACTTGATGGTGTCGGACAACATCTTTAGCGCGCTCGCCAACGGATCGCTCTTGAGCATCATCATGTTTGCACTTCCGCTTGGCGTCGCTGTCGCCAAGTCGCACACGGGCGCGGCCAGTACAAACGCCTTGCTGAACCTCCTCCGCCAAAGCCGCAACGCACTCCTCTCGCTCATCAACGCTGTGCTGGCAATGACACCGATTGCCGTCTGCTTTCTCGTGAGCTCGTCCATCATGTCGTACAACTCGAACGCGTCAAGCTTTGTGTCCCAAGCCGGCTACCTTGCACTCGCCTTTATCAGCGGCGTCGCGTGCCACGTCTTGGTGACACTGCCGCTTCTTCTTTTTCTTTTTACGCGCACCAACCCGTACAACTACCTCCGGCAGCTCTTTCCGGCCTACGTCTTTGCGTTCGGGTGCTCGTCGTCGATGGCTACGCTTCCGGTTGCCATGACGGTCATCCACCAGACGCGCCAAGTCTCACCGGGCTTTGGCCAATTGATCATGTGCCTCGGGACGCCCGTCAACACGAACGCCGCGGGCTTGTACTACCCGCTCATGACGACCTTCTTGGCGATTGCGTCGGGCAACTCGCTCGGGATGCCGCAGCTCGTCGTGCTCTACTTTGTCTCGCTGCTGGGCTCCATGGGCACGGCGCCTGTCCCGAACGCGGCGCTTGTGATGCTCATGACGGTGTGGAAGACCGTCTTTCCGAACGAGGCGCTGCCGTCGGCGTTCGTGTACATTGTGGCCATTGATTTTCTCTTTGATCGGATTTGCACCATGACCAATGTCAACGGCAACATGGTCGCCACCCGGATCCTCGCCGCACGCTTTGACGACACGAGCAGCTCGTGCTCGGGCGACGAAGCGCAGCACCGGACCGAGGCCGTCACCGAAGAAGTGCCGTGATCGTCGTCAGCATACTACTTTACGACTTGTAGTTTTTGCGTGTGTGTTGATGTGCTATCTATATCTATCTTGTACAACGAGTAATCCTGTGGTTGAACGTCACGAATGCAAACGAACTGGCGGACGGTGTTTAAAATTCGTGGATGGCTTTGGTCGTCGTCCAGTCTAGACAGGCCAACACAGTAGGACGTATGCAGAAAATGGGAATCGACGTTGCCGTTGTCCGTAGAGTCGTGCAGTGGGTCTCAGTTCGTGGGAGTGGATAGCATACTGTTTGTGAGTGGGTCTGGCCAGAAACACGAAGAAGCATCATTTACGGGTTGTGGCGTGATGACGGCCTCGCCCAGCGTGTCTAATTCGCGAGCGACCAGACAAGACACTGAACAAGCATCAAAGCTTCGGTATGCGCCGACATACGACGAGACGATTGCGTCCGTCGTGCACATATACAAGTAACCAACTATATGCACGAACGCGACCAGGCATACTAAGATCGTAGATGCGCTGCGGCCCCGGCACTGCACACGCGCACCAAGGCCTTCTTCGTTCGTTCTGGGTAAGGTCAAAAGATACGGGGCAAGGCCAGGACATCTCACCCAGGAGCAGCAAGAGTGGTCCACCAAAAGTAGCCATGTGAGTGTTTCATGGCCCATGGCCGTTCCACCCAGCATCGACACCACATGTTCATCTGGTTGCGCGATCGGCGTGGGACGGACCGAAGCGCATTTCTAAACTTGCACTTCGGACGCACGTGGCTCATGGACAAGCAGCGAAACCAAGGCATTTACCTCTTTGTGGACGAGACGCCGTCCGAGAATGGCACGCCGTACCGCGCATCGCGCCGCGCGAGCTCGGGCCCGACGCCGTCCTCGGCTGGCTCCAAGGGCAGCCGCGGGCCGCCGCCGTACGACGTTGGGCTTCGCACCACTTACAACCACCAACCACCGCGTG